ACTACGTTATCTGGGAAACATCCCCGGAGTGAAGTACGTTGACTTTGCCTCGAAATGAAACAGACTGCATTACGCGGATGCCACACGTCATGTAAGAAAGGCGAACGAGGATAGCTCGGCTAACTGGAAGCTGTGAAGCAAATATTAGCACCGAACGCGGGCCAACTCGGTTTGTCAAGACATGGAGGCGATTCTTGAACGTTCCATCGTCAGGACGATGGAGATCTCAAGGTCTTCTGATGGCGACCGTCATGCGTGAAGAACCATTGTCCGTGACGTACTTGAGGCAGGCTGGATTATGTATGATCACAGATGTAACAAGAACAAGCAAAATAATCCCTGTGCCTTTATGTTGTAATAAACCATTTATAAAGTCTAGCTACATTCCAACCATCTCAGGAGGTGCCAGACATCGACCAGTTGATGTCAACACAGTACAGTTAGGGTGGACGTCAAAACAGTTGCTCTACTCATTAGCGCCGATATGGCAGCATTCTTGAGCTAGTCCTGTGATTGGTTTACTTACTGACGGACGGCAGCTTAAACGAGTAGGCAGTTCAAAAGTTCTGGATCAACATGCTGTTATATTGACTGAGTATGTGAAGTGTCGTTGTTCCAATCTGTGCTTCTCAGTAAATGTCCATGAGCCTTGGACAATTGTTTTTGACTCCTCACGGTACTCCGATTCCATCGACAATAAACATATATCCAGCATCTGTTCAGTTAGTCCTCGGCAATAATTGTGCGCATAGAAGGCAACGCGGCTTTAAGGGGGAGGCATGTCGGGACGTCGGCTGAACATCATTCATTCACTAAAATTTACGGACCTCGCCTCCCAGCAGGCAGCCTGCACCGGAAGGGCATCGGACTGTCCAGGGAAGAGTGTCCAAATGGTTTAGGCTTGTTCGCCGTCATCAGTAAAACACAAAAAATCTTACCCCTGGTAACACAGTGAACAGATAGGATCAGTTAATGATCTTGACCCGGCGCTCTTGGGTCTACGACGCCGAAGAAAGCAGGTTTACCTCACCGGCGCCACTGCTCCAAGGATGACGGGAGACGCCGTAGGCGAGAATAGCAAGACTTGACAATGAGTCATCATGACGGACGTGTTGAGCACACGCAAGTTGTGAACTCCCACCCCTCTTCCCTGCGCCTGACGGCTACATTCAGTGACTACCGTTGGATGGTTTAACTACCAATCAGACGTTCGGGAGGGGAAAATCAGGGGCGAAAACTAATCTAAAACCGACAGCAAAAGTATCGAGGTCTTACAGTACAAAGTCCAAAGGTGCTGCGCAAGCGGCTCTACTTGATAGTTACATTAACCGACTCTTACAAGATTTATCATTAAAACAACAAGTGTATAACGAGAAATGCTCTAAAGTAGTAGGCTCCAATGGTTCTAAGCAACAAATTGTTTGGTCCGTCGTTCGTTACCACACTTGACTCCCCCCCCCCTCAGCTACAAAAATTCATCCCGATCGCTACTACTACTACTACTACTACTACTACTACTACTACTACTACCACCGTCACCGCCACTTATTGTGGGTTTTGCACCCGTGCCGACATCAAAATAACAGTAGGGATCTCACAGCTGGAGCAAATACCTCGGGGTAGGACTTAATGGGTTCAGTCGCAACTATCAGCCCCGAAAGACATTACTTACCACTTCACCCTAGCCCAAAACTCCTCCCTTTTGAGCAGGATTCCGTAAGGTAGCCTTAGCCGGTATGAATCATTCCATCTCGAGGTCAGGAATGGTGACGAGAGAGCAGGGCGCGGACACGGCTAGTAGGCTGACGGTGGCATGAAAAAAGATATTACTGGCCTCGTTATTCGCCGCAGGTCTTTGTTGTGGAAGGGCGGTATCCATTTCCCTCAACGGCTGGGTTTGGTTGTGTGTGTAACTATTATCTAAACCGTCATCTACTACTTGGGCAAAAGCTCTCTGGGGCCGCCTCATTTTGAAGGTTTCGACAGATACCAAGTACGGGCGATTTAGAACGTAGCAGACAGTTAGGTAGTCACTGGCATTTCAGGAATACCAAGAAACACAGCAGACCTCACCGTCATCAGAATGGTCACAGGAATTTTCGGAGGAAAAATTCGCCGGATACGCAGAAAATGGTATACTTCTGATTGTATCTTCCAGTGATGTATGTTTCAATTTCTTAGACGCTGACCCCCGCCTTTTGACATGCGTCCTTGTGAAATCTTTTATTCCTGCGATACCTATAGTGATGAAAGTACGCTGAATCCTGTTCGTCGTAGTCATCCGCATCTCGAAAAATCACACGACATTCGTGGGATATCACACTGAAAATATATATATTCAAACTTTACGCAGTTGGCTAGCTGCCATATTACACAGTACGCCAATCCTTGAGGGATATGACCGCCGAAAATCATAGAAGAAGGATTTTACGGAAGTTATTCTGTACATGTTTTATTTACACAGCGGTTTGCACAGGCAGGCCTTGTGTACTTCTGTAAATCAAGATTACTCACTCAACACTAGTATTTGAGCTTTCAGCGTTCTCGCATTTCTCAAGTTACTTGTTATTCCTAATCAATTTTGAGTACTCTTTTTTCGTCCTCCTAAGTAATAGTCCTTGATTATAAGTGGAGTTTTTTGATAAATACATTCGGGCCCGCTTTCGACTGAAGACTTGCGCATATTTCATAAGTTACATCACTTGCCGAAAGACTAGGTGATGTTACGCAGAATTTGCAGCGCGAGCAGCAGGGAACATCAGCGCTCAGAAACACATTCAGAACTATCTTGGTTGCCATGACGCCAGGCATAGTGAAAATAACACTGAGGCGAGATCTATTGTCTCAAAATGCGGCTGAGAGCAAGACCGCAAAAATTCCGACGAGACGGTATCACCTGATGTGTCACAGAAGTGGAATTTGTTTTCGCAAAAAAATATCAAACCAGATAACTCATTATTGCTGCCTGGCATGTGCAATAAAGTACGTGGGTAAGATGTTATTTGGTAGCCCTACCTGATGGACACAATACTGTTGGGGTTAAGGGTTAGGGCAACTATTTCGCAACCACTCAAAGCACAACCGCGCATTCCCACTAGCTTTTCTTTTGCATATAACTACTTGACCTCGTCGCTTTTGCGTTCCCCGGCCTCACCTGTAAAAATCCCCTTTGCCACCGGTCCCGTACTGCAGGTGGCTGGCATTTGTTTACATCAGGTGGGGCTACACAACCGCATCCTACCAATACGTGAACTGCACGAGGAAAAAAACTCGGCGGACATTGTGGCAACAGGCAGTGCACGTAGTATAACCACCAATCAAAATGACCGCCATTATCCATGTAAACGAAATGAGCGGTCCGTTTAATGAAAGTTCCAAAATTCCTACTCCACAATGGATTAGATCAGATACGCATTTGCCAAGTAACCAGTAATTGTAGTAACGTCTGACTTAATCGGCTTTAATTATGGCCCTAAACGCACTGCAAACTCTAAAAGGCTAACCTCCAGAAAGACATTAGTAGCTGCAAAAGAACTGCATAAAGCAACCCCCTGTTAAACCTTTCTGAAAAAAAAATAGCAGCCTATGACCGTTGAGTCGCAGCACGCGAAGGCGTCAACTGAGTGCCTCATGAAGTGGGCGCAGTGAATTAGTTTACATTGGGGCAGATTTCCGTAGCACCTGCTACACTTTCTCTTCCAACAATTACATGGCACCAGTGACAAGACGAGCGGAGGGGTGCTGTGGGGCCAGTCTACGCGTGCCACGCACGACCTGGTTCTGTAAGGGCGGTACGGATCTCAAATCAATGAAAGTGCCACAGTAAGGGAGAGCCAATGCAGCTTGACTCCCAGATGAGACGGATCGAGTTGTCCCGTCAGCTAGGAGCCTTCCGAGATGTGCCACACATGTATGGTACTAGTTCTCTGCTAGTATGGACTTTGCGCTGACCGATAGACGTGTACTGCGAGCCAATCTGCCCGACGACTCAGTCCAGCGCATCCACAGCACAGCTTGCTGTGACTATATATAAGCACTGAATGGTATTTAAAAAATAAGTACTATCTAAGAAATGTTTACGTACACTGAGCGCTAAGTATCCCGCGGCTATGCTGACCAGCCCGTCCCGTCAGCTCGGAGTCGTGCCTATGCTAAAAAACCCAGTCGGGGAAACCCACGGTTCATACGCTTGTTGCTTATTCATTGAAGAAAAATCTGTCAAGCGTAGATGGTAATAAGTGAGTTGAGATGTTTTCAGGTCAGTGAGAGCTGTGTTATTTTATCTTGCTCGCAAGGACGGGGCGTGAGTGGACAGGGATATTTCAAAGCCCAGTAGACAGGCAAGGGGTGTTGCTTAGCAACCAAGCAAGCGGAACAAAAGTCAGTCTTGCGGGCGGACGAAAACATGCAGTATGGCGCCAGTTATTTGGCGCAGGCAACGCCACCGCCTAGTTCCAACTGTTGGTGCTGCGTGACCGCTGGATGGGCAGGATAGGTGTTGTAGACCGACAACTGATAAAGTGTGCCAACGACGACTAGGCCACTTTCTAACCTCATGAAGCGAACAAGAATAGGCAATGGCTCCAAAGCCATGGCTTCAGATATAGCATTTATACCTAACTAACATCTTACGACGATCGTTGGATAGACCGGGAGTGAGTACTAGACCGGAGATGTTGTTTAGATGGCCCACGGACGTAACTTCACCGCGAAAGCTGCGCAGAATCACCTGATAGTGGCGCTCCTCGACCTATCCTAAGTTGCAGAGCGGAAATGTTGACGTTTCGTACTGCCATTTACTTGCAGTCATATAGCGGTGGGTAAGTCAGAGTCGAGAGGTATCACGCACAACGATCAGAATGAAATAGCCCTTTCTACCTAGCATAACGTTTGGATCGGTGAACAAAGGCTGCCGGCCCTTCGCACATGGATTAAGGTGTGGCTGGCTGGTGAGTGCAAACAAACTGGAGACAACGAAAGGGGAGGAAGTGAAGGAAGAGATGGAGGAGGAGGCGAAGGAGGATGATGCTGCTGCTGTTGAGGATGATGATGATGATGATGGTGGTGGTGGTGGTGGTGGTGGTGGTGGTGGTGGCGGCGGCGGCGGCGGCGGCGGCATCCGACAATGTCCACCGTGTGCTCCACAGCAATGTGAGAGCAGGCACGGCGACTTGCGCGTGCATTAATTTATAGTGTTAGTCGACTTGCACGGCGGCGGCGGTGGTGGTGGTGGTGGTGGTGATGATGATGATGATGATGATGATGATGATGATGATGATGATGATGATGATGATGATGATGATGATGATGATGATGATGATGATGATGATGATGATGATGATGATGATGATGATGATGATGATGATGGGGAAGATGAGATTACTCGTTTTTATTTCTTTCTTGGCGCCATTACCAACAGGGAGTCCTAAGATGTCAACCGTCACTGATCCAGCCAACCGATTCAGCCACCTTTAACAGAGAAGCCTTCAAGGGCCCCATTTGTGATCCTAACTTTCGCTCTGCACGTCACAGATGAAGTGTCTGTTTAGTTGGTTTGAGCAAAGTACTCATGCAGTCCACACTATTTCCTCCTCCACCGCACGTGTCACAGTTGCCAGCCAACCGGAAATTATCTTACTGGAAATAAGTGTGCAGTAAAAGTAACATCTACACAGCATAAAGAAACCCCAATTAACGCAGCTGACTGCGAAAATCGACGCAGGCGCGTTCTGTGTGTGCGTGGGTGTGGGTGTGTGTGGGCTGCGTGACTGTTATGCTCCACCCAAACAGGGTCCATATTAGCTTGTAGCATGCACTATTTCAGTTCTGCTAATTTGCTACGAGTCCTTGCTTGTGGTCGTAGACTGAACCTTCACACAACGCTAGTGAGTGCGATCAATCCCCATGCAGACTCATACAGGCCACCGACACATGGGAGAGGGAAGAGAAAGAGCAAATGACCACAATTCGGCTCGAACCCAGCACCTAAGTTCCTCAGTATAAACAACTAGACTGGCCTTTAAACTATCACGACACGTTAGGAGTCATGACCTGACAGATTGCCAATGACCGGAATAGTTCCATCCTATTCAGAGCTTAAGGGTCCGACTGCGCTAGTTCCTCCTGAACCGACGACGTCTGGCGCGTGTGGAGTTGGGGACCAAACTGTGCGTAACAGGCGTAGCAAGAGTTACTTAACTGTGCTAGCCCCTGCGCCCACCATAACCTACAGTTCCCTTGACTTGAAGGAGACACGATCGCGGGGACAAGAGCTTTATTAGCCCGACGTTTCGGATTCCTGCTCGAACCCATCATCAGAGACAAAAGAGCAGATACGGGTGGTTCATGCACAAGGGGCTGCAGTATTTATAGGATGCAGTCGCCATGCTACAGCATACCTAAGAACATTCACGGCTCTCCCCCTCCTTCATCAGGGATCGTCGCATTTGGTGTGCTAATCGTTTGATGGCCGACATTCGCGTCGTTAATTACTTGACCTTGCCGAGGACCACGGGAACACAGTGGACGTAGGAAGAGCGAAAGCGGATGCGGCGAAAGTGCAATTCTGCATAAACAAAGTTACGTTCAAGTCAATCATGCGTCCCTTGCCTCATGAGACAGTGGGCACTCTCCGCTTACGACGAAAAAACTACCAAGTTGCATGTGGCTGCGAATAGATAATACAGTGCCGTCAATACAGATAAGCAAGGCCTGATTGGCCATTTCTGGCTTTTATACAGTCACCAGTCGATCGTAGCTCAAAGCATGACCTAAAAGACCTCAGGTGTGAACCACGATCAGTTGGTCATCGTGCACTTGACTCAGACGGTTTACTGCCATGTCTCCTAAACGTTTTTTAACTCGCGGTGCACAAGAGATCACAAGACCCCCAAAAGCCATCAAACGTTCCCGTCATCCCGAGACGACGGTCAATCACAGGTCTTTGCGGATGCACCCAATGGCAGACGTCCACACGGTGACAGTTCGACCGTCGCATCCAACAATGTCCACCGTG